CTTTGATGCCAGCCCACCAGCGGATCATGTAACGCTAGCCAGCTCATCCCCAATATAATGGGAGCTCCTCCCAAGGTGGCCACATTAAATGCTATTAGTTCGGTGTGCCTTGCCACCTTCATTATCATTAGGACGGTCTGCAAGCTGACTTCTCCTCCCAACAGCTCCCTGCCATCGATCGTGGTTACCTGCAGGGGTTGCTTAAAGGGAGCGTCTGTATCTGGTGTTCAGCTGCAAACTCTTTGCTCATGAAATTGCAGGAGCTGCCTGAGTCCAACAGCGCCTTTATCTTTAGAGGGTGTCCGTTTGGCAGCTCTAGTGTCACTTCTATCACTAGGGCGGGTTTAGGAGGTTCTGGCGTGGGCACTTTCACTGCTCTTTGGCCTGGCTGCTGTGCCCCGACAATGGCAGCCAGGCGTTGGCTTTTAGTTGCTCCGGTATGTTTTCCTCTCTTCCCTCCACAGCTCCCACCATCCCTTGCCATTCCTTCCTCTGGGGGCAGACTCTGGCAAAGTGCCCTGGCTGTTGGCAGAGATAGCATTTCCGGGCGCCTTTTCCCTCCTTTTTTTCCCCCCTCACTGGGCTTTGAAACTGCGCGCGCGCGCGCTGTTCCGATTTCCATCGGCTCTGCCGGCGGGAAAGTTGGCTCTGGAATGTCTGGAATGCGGAACTCCTTCCAACGTTCCCCTTTCCCTTCCCGCCTCTCCAATGCTCTCGCCTCCTGGCGCGCTCCTATGGCCAGCGCTGATTTGGTCAGCTGGTCCATAGACTCCGCCCTGGGCGCCCGGGAAAGTTCATCTTTCACAGCCGAAGAAAGCCCTTCTTCAAAGAGCATTTGAATGGGTTCCACCGATAAGTCCCACCCCAATCTGTGTATCAGCATGGTGAACTCAGTCCAGTACTCACGTACAGATCGGCTCCCCTGTTTGCAAGCCATTAACTGTCTGCGCACCACTCCCTTTTCAATATCGCTGGAAAACATCAGATCCATGGCGCGAAAGAACTTCATCGTGTCCTTTAGGACGTCACTATGCGCTGCCATCAGGGGTCTAACCCAGTCTCTCGCCCCCTTTTCAAGATGCCCAATCACAAAAGCCACTCGTGATTCCTCATCAGGGAAATCATCAAACTGCAGATTGAGGGCATATTGCATTTCTGTCCGAAAGCTATGATAGTCTTTGGGCTCCCCCCCAAATTTCTGCA